CCACCGGTACAGCCTGCTCTGAGCATCGTTATGCACATGCTGCGCACAGACCACGCAAATAAAACGCGTGACGTTTAAAGTATGCATGCATAACAGTCCTGAGCGCAAGCTGTAATGATTTTCTGTCGGCTGAATGAACATATCAGTTTGCTTTCTCACATTACATCTTTAAATCTGCAACTTCGCTGACTAACAAATGCATTAATGTGATCAGCTGGGTATAAACTAACATGACATTTAACATATGGCTTGCATGTTTTGGTCACGTTTTAACCACTGGAGGTGCTACTAATGTTTGTGTCCTCTCAGCCTTGATAGCAAACATACTGCTGTCCTTTCTCCACTAAAAAATATCGGCATGGATTTTTGCCGATAGCGATAGTTCCCGCAATCAACTACCGGTGCCGATTAATCAGCAAAACCGATGCATCGGTCGACCTCTACTACAGACACACACAGTCAGATAATTTACAGACACAGACAGTCAGATCATCTACAGACACAAAGACAGATCATCTACAGACACACCCAGATCATCTACAGACACACACAGTCAGATCATCTACAGACACACACACAGATCATCTACAGACACAAAGACAGATCATCTACAGACACACCCAGATCATCTACAGACACACACAGTCAGATCATCTACAGACACACAGTCAGATCATCTACAGACACACACATACCATCCACAGACACACACAGTCAGATCATCTACAGACACACACAGTCAGATCATTTACAGACACACATCAACATTGTGACCAGTTGACTGTAAATTATCTTTTATATGTTCTTAATACCTCAGTATCTGCAGCTTACAGTTTAGACTCTTCAGTCCATCAGAGAGCAGCTTCACTCCTGAATCCTGCAGGTCATTGTTACTCAGATCCAGTTCTCTCAAGACAGAGTTTGAGGATTGAAGGACTGAAGACACAATTTTACAATGCTGATTTGAGAGATCACAGCCAGAAAATCTAGAAGAGATTAAATCAAATTTAAGAAATAACAAAACAACAGACATGTACAGAGGGTTGCCAGTTTTCTGCCCTCAGGGAACGGAGGATGACATGATCTGAACATTGAATTATTTTGATAAGATGAGCTCCTGAGAGTGAGATAATCTGATCATGTTATCATTCAGATTTATTCATATCCGAGATAAGATGAGCTCCTGACTGTTTATTCAGCTAATGAATATTTAATATTTTGCAAAATGTAGCAAATATTTCTGAAGGTATAAAAGTTATAAAAGTTTTGAGAGACTCTCCAGACAGCTGTGCATTTATTGCAGTTTATTTATTTTGCTGGATTAAGTCCTTACTGCTATATTGTTAATTTAATACATTTTTGTAGTTTCCCATTATTTGGTGCTTGAGTTGCATTCGTTTGAGTCAATCGTGTTCACAGGCACAGTAACTTTCTTTGCTTTATTTTGCTTTATTAACTTTATTCAACGTCACATTCATTCACGATCAAATGAGACATGTTGAATAAATGCTTGCTATGTAGTTTAAGCTTTACAGTAAGAGACAGAGATGAATTGACTGAGTCACGTATGTGGAAATCAAATCATTTAAAATTATGTTAATGAATTAAAAGAGCCCTGAATGAGTGCATGTTGGGAATAAAACAGTTGAATTTAATTCTCTGTCAGCTGCTTCAGCTCTTTTAAATGCTTGTTTAAAAGTTCCTAAATTATATTAACATTTACTATTTATTTCACTATTAATCATCCTCTATGAACTTGCAGCTCTGTGGAAATGAATTTATGATGTCTGTGGGTGATTGCATTAATGTTTAAAGTATAGGTTTTGCAGGAGTGTATAGAAATTCATTGGGCAAAATACACATTATTACACACATTAACATGTTTAAAAACATGGGTTGCAATGAGGGCATTGATGAGAAGTGTCTCATTTGCTGCAGATTCACTATAAAAGACTAAACATAGCACTGTTATTACATAATAACCTATTCTAGACCACAGCCAAAACATTAAAAAGTTTATTTATTAGGCTACTTGGATGATTTATAAATCACAGGTTTAGTGCATCAAGTTCTTAACAGAAGTAGGAATGTCTGCAGGCATAATGAAAGCAACCACACAGCAAGCTATTTTACATTTAAGAAAAGACCTTGTCAATTAGCCAACATGAAGTTTTTCTTTAACCCTCATATGGTTCTCATTTTCTGTTTACACTAATGGTATTTGGGGTCAATATGACCCCAAAATTGATAGAGTAATTTGTAAAAAATATATACATTTTTAATCATACAAATTATATATATATATATATATATATATACACTTATATTTGTTTACTTCTCATCTATACATTAAAGCTGTGTTTTGGGAGATATGGAGTATTTTTGTACCTATTTACCACAAAAATCCTCAACTACACCATTAGCTTGAATGTTAAATATTACATTTTCATGAAAAAATTCAAAACAAAAACAACTGCAATAAGCAGATATGAATGGTGGGTGTGTGTGTGTGTGAGAGAGGGTGTGTGTGCGTGTGTGTGTGTATGTACGTGAGTGAGTATGCTCGTTCCACATTGCATTTGTGCTCTAGTACCAGGCCTTCATTTCTGTGTGGAAATTTTCAGATTTATACCAGATTTATTGATTTTTGTTGACAAATTAAAAAAATATATAGAGATTTTTTCGCATTTGCCATTCATTTCAATGTGGGGTCATATTGACCCCAAATACCAGATTTGTAAAAAATAAAATGTACATACCTTAAGAACAACCGAATCAACCCCAGTTTTTTTATGTGAATATAGATAGAAAATGTAGAAAAGTCACAAAATCTTATTCCACTGAGATGAGGGAACCATTTTTTTTCCATTCATTTTCAATTGGGGTCATATTGACCCCAAAGACCAGATTTGTAAAAAAAAAAATAAAATTACATACCTTTAGAACGACCGAATCAAGCCCATTTTTTTTGAAGGGATGAAGGGAACCATTTTTTTTTAACTAAGTAAAAGTTGATTGGGGTCATATTGACCCCAAGGACAGATTGAGGGTTTTAAAAAACATCAGTCTAGTTACGATTAGATTTATTTTATTTTCCGTGATCGGGATCATTTTATTTTGTCGGATGTCAAATAGATCCGTGATTAAGCGGAGCGGTCATAAGTCAAAGTAAATGATCAGAAGTGTTGTGGAGAATAATTTTGTACACAATAATGGAAAACAATCAATTTCTTCATAAGGGTCAGCTCATAATGAAGTTGACTACAGAGTGAGCAGCCGTGTTTTCTTGACATTTTTTTTCGCGGTACATCTTTTTTTTTTATGTCATCACATTAAATCGCAGCTGCTGAAATTCGGTAAAAAAAAACTGCTTACATTTACATTTTATCCTGTATGGTGACCGGGAGGGGACATGTTCAGTTCTCTTAATTTTGTTCACTTTCAATTAGTCGAGGTAACGACATCCTTATGCACGATTTCTTATGTTGAGGGAATGACATATTTTTCTTGTGGCCACGAGTTTTAAACAAACCTGCATGACCTGCGAGCCAAACTGAACCGTGAACCATTTTGCTCGACTATCTACTGTATTAAAAAGCTGTGTCGTAACTCCTTTAAGATTTTGGTCTGTTATTCAGGAGAAAATCTCTCATTTAGGATTTCATTGCTAAATATGATAGTTTAGTTAATGATTAAACACTCACAGAGCTTTTCTGCAGTTGATCACAGCTGGTATCAGTCTTCTTCTTCCCTCAGCTGATGTGTTGTATTTCTTGAGCTCAAACTCATCCAGCGGCTCCTCTGACCTCTGAAGCATGTAGGCGATTGC